TGTTTGTTTGCCTGTGGTAAGACAGTGACTGAAACAGTTTCTCTATCCACACTTCTCGCTGTTGTTATCATTTGAAAAGGAGAACTGTTCATTTGTGTCCACATAATATATTTCGATAGAGAGAAAAACCTGTGCTCATCAGAACAAAACAGAAAAGAGAAGAAAACGGCTTTTCCACAAACAATATTGTACATCACAAGTAGATGTTCCTTACAAAAGTTGTGCACAGAAAGGTGGGAACACATGAACGGATATACATCAAGAGGCTATCCCAGGAGAGGAAAATGTGTAAATTGTAAAGTGTTTGTAGTGGCCTATACCCTAACCCAGGGCGAGAAAGACATTGATGACATTGATGATGGTGATGATTTTTTGTTTTGTTTCCTTAATGGGCCTGGCGGACTCCACGAAGAAATCTCCGAGCAAGAGCGCGAGGCTCTTTTTCGGCTCCATTGTCAATAAGCTTAACGGTGATGATGATGATGATGATGATGATTATGAAACGTAGTGTGTTAAATTCTCGCTAAAAATCAGATAAATGCCAAAAAATAAATAAAAATTAGCAGTTAATTCAAAAATAGAATTCAAACATGCATTTGTTGATTCTATCTACATAGTACATCTTTACGAATAAAGAGAAGAATAATGTCAGTATTTAGAACTACATCATATACGTATACATGCAGGCCTAAGGTTCACTGAATTATCAATGAAGCATAATATAATATGCACTCAAATCTGAAAAACAATTTTCTATTGTTGTTTTATAGTCACACATCAAACGCACTGTAAAAAAAGGTCAGGCACTATCATCGATAGAAAGATCACAAGCCATTCCAAATAAATCGCACGACCATCTAATAATAGAAACAAAATCACACAAACCACACAAGGGTAATATGCAACACAACAAAAATATAATATAATATAACATTAAAAAAACACATCAAAAGAATGTCTTTTTTCAAATAATAAGGCAACAAACGAAACAAAAAAATGAAACAGGTATAATAAAATAGATAAACAAACAAAGCATTGGTTTGAGGTAACGATGAAGCGTAGGGGTGATCAAGCCTTTCACTTTGCCCCAACACCCGCAACCTGGAGAGATCATTTAGTGTGAGCTACCAGCACGTGTAGTATGCGATGGGTGGGCGGTACATCTTGCTAAAGCAACGAGGCAGGTGAAAAAAAGGGAGGGGTACATGACGACGTGTTACTATGCACCACAACACGAGGACAGCTTTGAAAATGTTAATTAAGTAAATAACATTTCCAAGTCGTATTTGGTTTTAGCTTTATTGAAAAAAAAATTATACCAATATACTTATCTCACTCAAATCCCGGAATAGTTATATATTCTAGAATCTAATTAAAATTACCATAACATATCTAGAATCTTATTCAAATTGCCATAACATATCTAGAATCTTATTCAAATTTCATATAGACTTACATGTAATATTATATTCATTAATCTCTTTCAAATTTTATAATATTATTATGTGAAGTGTGCAGACAATATGAGTTAAGTCTTAGATTTTAGCCCTATGGGCACAGAAAGATAATATTATATGAAAATGATAGATTGAGTTTTTTAAAATATACAATATGAAAAGATGAAAGGCATGTTCAACTTGAACAAATATGGCATCAGTTAAAAATCTATTAATTTGATGTGTCTATTTTTGGCCAATGCTTCCATTCGTGATTTCGAGAAGTGACTCATTTTTGTCAGCCCGCCTCACATATATATTTTCAAGAAGTAACGCCCACCCCCCCCCCCACCCTCCCCTGATATGAGATAGAAAACTTACATTCAAAGTTGTCCCCGGACTGAGTTGCACGTTTCCGGAGAGTCCACAAATAGCAGTACAGGTACACCGGTACACAAAACAAATCTATATCTACAGATTGAAAACGGCAACAGAACACAAGGGGTTTGGGGGGGGGGGGGGAGTCGCCAAACCTTCCGCACTGAAGCCTCCGAAGGACGAGAAGGAAGCGCCTGCTTGGCCTTGAGCTGAGGTCAAGTGCTGACCTTGAGAAGAGGTCAAGAGTTGACCTTGTTGGGTTCCCCCAGCCCCAACATTCCCTTTCACACCTCCTCCTCCTCCTCCTTTTCCTCCTCCACCACTACTTTTTTCTCCTTTCCCTCCTCCTCCTCCCTCTCCTCCTCCACCCTCTTCCCCTCCTCCTTTCCGTTTGGACTTTTTCCGAGTTCCGTCGGGTACGTCGTCTGCTACTTCCTCTTCCGGGTCATACGCTGATGGGGAGAAAGGTCAACATCCGGAGATAATCAAAGGCGCACAGAGACCATTAGGCTACACACGGACACTTATACAGCTCCTAAGTTTCAAACTTGGGTCTGTCCCGGGACAGGACTATCGTAGTGCGGTACGACACTGACAGTTCGGTGCCAACCACCAATATAACAATGCCCTTATCACATCCGTAAAACAGTAAGACACACCCTTACGTCCTCCTTGATAATGCTTGATTCCAAACGTATTGACGCTGTCTCTCCTCGGGGGCATATCAAGGAAGTCAATATTTGAACTGATGGGGGAGTATATAGTACTAGGGGCAATATAATATACTTCCTATGTGTCTAGTGCCCAGGCAAAACTGCATCATGCATAGGCCTACTGCTGTAAGATCGTCTGTCAATACGCTACGGGTCATAAATTTTAATAATGCCCTACTAGATACTTGTACCAATGTGTCATTTTGATGATTGTCTGATGAGACGCAAAAGGCCAGAAACAATGTACTACAAAACACACACGCAGGTCATTTTGAAATCTCGGCCTACAAGAGAGATTAGTTGTCTTTTTTTGTACCGGGACAGATCCTTGATTGGCAGATCGCCGAAAAGAAGAGATGCAGAGAGGAGACGGTGAGAAGACCTTGCAACACAGATACCATTCGAAAATTGAAAAGCTACAGTAATACAAATCGGCAACAGTTAAGACTGTTTACAGTAAATCTGCAAAAACTTTCTTCATGCTGTACGCCAACTGTTGTTAGCTCAAGAAAAGCGCAAAAATACAGTATCTGCAGAAAAAAAAAGATTTTTAAAATTTTTAAAAAGCAAAAAATCAGTTCAAAGTGCAGCATTTTTACAAAGCAATGGAAAGAATGAGTGAAATGAAAAAGCTGAGATAAATCTGAAAGAGAATATCGTCACGAGAATCAATTATAACGCAAAAGTGAAATAAAGCTGAAAGAAGATCTGGTTAAGCTTTCTGAGAAAAAAAAGAGAAAATTGTTGTCAGTAGAATCAATTATAATGCAAGGATAAATCAATCACTTTTTGCATTGATAAAGAAACAATAAATTTATGTCTAAAGTTGATGTCTGAGCACACAAATTGAGTACAGCATGCGATATTTCTAAAATGGTAACAGATAAGGAGAAGCAAATACTTTTTAAAAAATTTTAATGTCAAAAGTAAAACAAACAACACTGTGATTAGTTATTAGTTAGTGACTCTAGTAATTTTTATAACATGATCTTCCTATAGTACAAATCTGTTTCATTCATTACAAAATAATCTGAAAGATCAAAGAAATCGTAGCGTCAATTCTGTTACATTTCAACAAACGACAAAATAATATATATGAGCGAAAAATAGATGAGTCCTGTCCGCACAAAAAGAAGCGTGCGGCAAATTCAGGTGTCCGATGTTTTGTGCTCCAGGAAAACGACCAGGCAATTACTTAGACAAGTATCCACCAATCAAAATGTCTAAGTATACAAGTATCCACCAATCAGAGTGTCTTAGACAAGCATCCACCAATCAGAATATCTTAAACATGTAACCACCAATCAGAATGTCAACAGGCAACCACCAATTAAAATGTCTTAGACAAGTGTCCACCAATCAGAATGTCTAAGTATACAAGTATCCACCAATCAGAGTGTCTTAGACAAGCATCCACCAATCAGAATATCTTAAACATGTAACCACCAATCAGAATGTCAACAGGCAACCACCAATTAAAATGTCTTAGACAAGTGTCCACCAATCAGAATGTCTAAGTATACAAGTATCCACCAATCAGAGTGTCTTAGACAAGCATCCACCAATCAGAATATCTTAAACATGTAACCACCAATCAGAATGTCAACAGGCAACCACCAATTAAAATGTCTTAGACAAGTATCCACCAATCAAAATGTCCTAAACTCAAACCACCAATCAGAATCAGAGTGTATTAGACAAGTATCCGCCAATCAGAACATCTTAGACAAGTATCCACCAATCAGAATGTCTTAGACAACTGTCCACCAATCAGATTGTCACAAATATCCACCAATCAGAAAGTCACAGACCAATCAGAATATCTTAGACAAATGTCCACCAATCAGTATGTCACAAATATCCACCAATCAGAACGTCTTAGACAACTGTCCACCAATCAGAATGTCACAAGTATCCACCAATCAGAATGTCTTGGACAACTGTCCACCAATGTCACAAATATCCACCAATCAGAAAGTTTTAGACCAATCAGAACGTCTTAGCCAACTGTCCACCAATCAGAATGTCACAAATATCCACCAATCAGATTATCTTGGATAACTGTCCACCAATCAGAATGTCTAAAACAAGTGACTACCAATCAGAAAAACAGTTCAATATGTCTCAGAAATAAGTGAACCAGTGCGGTGTGGTCCGAATCAATACTGCCAAAAGAGCTCTCACCATCATAGTATGGGCCTCTAGATCAAGGCACACTAGAGCAGAGAAGCTCAAAAAAGAAATGTGTCACAACGCTGTGGAATCTGGCGCTCGTCAATTTTTGGGCATGTAGAGTTAATGGTGTCAGCTTAAATCTTTTTAATTTGCCTTGTTTTGGGTGGGAAAAGTACCAATCTACCTTGGAAAGAAGTCTAGATATTCGCCATTGAAGGATGTGAGGGTCGCCTGGTTTCCGAGGTAAAATTAACGAGAAAATGGCCACCAAAGTTCGATGACTTCCAAAGCTTCAGAGGCCTTGAAAACTGGAAATCTGCATTTTTTGTTCCTTTAATCAGCGTTTTTCAGTAAAACCCACAAGGAAATGTGTTTTTAAATGGACATAAAAGGTTGTGAGCCAAAACCCAAAATTCGAGAAAAATTGTGCTACTGGTGGAAAAATGCCTTTTTCTATTTCATTATTTTGACGAGCGCCTGATTTCACCACACTGCCTCACAAATAGCATTGCAGTGACAGAGACAGTTTACTACAATTTGAAAAGATTTATTACATCATTATTATAAAATTACTGTATATCCAAGAAAATCGCTGTGAACATTCAACCAATCTTACCCTAAGAGTAAAAATAGTCTTTTTTAAAACCCTTTTTTTCAGTTGGAAAAGAAAAGAAAGTTTATCAGATTTGGGAATAAGCTTAATGATATGCATTATTTGATGGTCACCACAGAGCAAGATGAAAGAAAAGTTAACGCTTTTGTTAGTGTCATCGTAAAAAAAAAGCCCTCCATCCTTTGCTTTACTCGCAGAGGTTTGAATTTATAAATCAGATGTTTCATGAGCAAATAAAGCCTACAAAAGGTAAAGATGTAAATTTTTCTTTTTAAAAATAACGACAAATTAATAGATTTCAGGCTACCAAGCAACGAATTATTTGCTTTTTGTATTCTAAAAGATCATAAAAGAAGATGAAGGAAAAGAAAATATATATATAAAAATTATAAAGTATACAAAGCGACTTGAAGGATAATATACTTCAATTTAAAAAAAGGGGGAAAAATTTAATCTAGCAAGCATTGATAAAAAAAATCTAACAAATTATACGCATTTTCTACTTAATTTTTTTTTAAAACAAAGAAAACCAATACCATAAAGTATACAAAGCGGCTTGAAGGATGACGCACTTCACTCCCAAGCCAAAAATGCGGAGCGGAAAATAATTGTATGTTGATAAACTGAAAGCAAGCTGCAAACCTTCCGAGCCGAAACTTCCCCGAGAGGCATTGGGAGGAAGGGGGAGAAAACTCTGAGCCGACCCAAAGCGAGACTTCCCCGACTGCAGCATGACGGAGCTCATGCGAGAGACAGAGACAGGGCCCGGGACCGTCAGCCAAGCGCTTGTGGTTGCGGTAGAAGAAGAGGGGTTCAACTTCTCTCCATCTTTGACCTTTCGCGAAGATTTCTTTTTTTCTTCTCTCGCACTGGTGCTGGCTTCGCTCCCTCCTTCCGTGTCTTCTGTTTGCGCAAGATTCGAATCATCACTTTCTCTCACTCTTTTACTCTTTATCTGCTTCTCTTTGTTGGGTGTTGCGCCCGACCTCTGATCCCCCTCTCTCTCAGGGTTTGGGGTCTCCCCGAGTCGGTCTTCTGTCTCATTCTGCTCGTGACCCATTCGTGCTGATGAAATACAGTGGAGTCCACTTAAAACGAACACAGTTAATCCAAAAAGCAGGCCTTAACCAAAAGAAATGTAAAAATATTTGACCCCCCCCCCCCCATTTGGCAAGTTCTCTAATCCGAAAACTCTGCCAAACCGAAAAAAATCCGGCGATCCCTCAGACTCCGGTTTAAGGGGACTCCACCGAACGTAATGTTCACATAAATGTTGACGCACAAGCCTGCAGACATGGTTTACCTTGACTTTTCGTTCAAGGCAGCCATAATGAGAACTACAAACCAAACAATGAGAAAGGAACACATCGTGCAAAGCAAGAAATGAGTTATGGTAACACATTTTTAAAAATTAAGTCTGTATGTACCGGTACATAAAAGCACCTGCAACAAAGCATGCAACCGAACAACGAGACAGCATTATGTAGATATATATATTACGTGGTCACATGATATTTGAAAAAATAATGATGTCCCCATCATAAAAGTACACACGTAAAAAAAGAGACGGTGAATAAGATATAACGTAGTCTGCTCTTGTAGACTGCGGGTAATTTGGAGCTGTGATGGGAAAAGAACAAAGTTAATAAGGTTCAAAAGCCTTCAATAGCTACATGTAAGTATATATGCGTCACGACACAGAGGAATCCGGCCTTCGTTAATTTTTGGGCAAATGGAGTGATTTGTATAATCAGAGGGTCCGACTGCATTTCACGTTATAACTCTTGTACTTCTGAGCTGTAACTGTAACAGGAAAAGACCAACGTTATTAATTAACACAATCGAACCAGCTCTAACGATCACCAGTATCAGACAATCACTGTACAAACAGCCACTTTCTATAGTCTCTACTGCGTTTTTCTTACATATATAATAACACTGTGTAATATGTACACCTGTCTAAGACGATCCTTTTTCTCCTCGACAATGAATGACTGCCTTTAACAATGTCGACTGTATTTATACGCATATTTACAATCATATTTGAAAATGAACTATCTCCAGTACTATATATAATTAGATTAGCTGAAACAGATTCGAAGAATTTCTTCTTGATCATTCTGTATTTTCAAAACAGCGCAGGGAATGTGCTGGGCTGAAGCAAGTTGTAGAAGAAAGCCTATTCCTCTTTATTCAAAATTGTCAATCGTAATTCAACCTTTCCATTATAGCCAATTTCAAACCAGATAAAAACATTGGAACCTTATGATACAAAAAGCAAAAACATGTTACCTCACTCAATAAACAAATCACGTCACACTTATTAAGTTAAAGAGTCCATAATATTTCATAATAACCCAAAACAATCGTAACCCCATACAGTACACAACTAAAAATGTATTAAACACTTTTATTGTGATAAATAATCATATCTGAAAGGAGTGGTGAACAACATTAAAGATTAATACAATACTTTTTTTAAAAAGTAGATCTAATGTAAATTTACAACAAGGGGTGAACCACATCAAACATGCATTGTGAAACGAACTTGCCAATCTTTCACTGACAAAATCCACAGTAGACATGGGTGTTCAAAGTCCACGCTAGACATGTTCTGAAGATCACTCAAGATTTACTGGTGTTAGAATCATATACAACAAAAGTGCAAGATATGTAGTGCAAACAAACGCAAAAAATTCAAAGAGGCTCCCCACAATTCAAATTGAAAAAAAAATGGGTATTTATTATTTCCTTACTAAGTTTCTTTTTAAATTTAAAGAAAATAAAAAAATAACCACACACACACACACACACACAAACCAAACAAACACACGACAAACCGTTTTTGTTTTTTCTTTTCCTCCCTTTTTGATTAAGGTTCCTTTCTGAAAGCCTGTGACAAACTTTTTTTTTCCCTCAAAGTTCTTATCTAAAAACAATCAAAAACACACAAAAGCTGTTTTCTCTTTTTTTTGCCGAAACTACCATACTTTTTTTAAAGCTCATGCCAAACACTTACTTTTTTTAAGAGGGGTGGTGGGGCAAATTTCTTATATATATAAAAACAAAAGAAAACACGTTAAACCGGTTTGATTTCTACTTGGTCTAAATCTCTTTAAAATACCTTTAAAAAACAACAAAACAAAACAAAAACAGGCAAAAAACCTTTGCATGCAGGCACAACAACCCAAACACGACAGGGAGGGGGGAGACCTCTAGTGACAAACAACGTGCTGTGATGTACCACAACAAGAGAGGATAATAAACTCTCTTTGAGCACACCAAAGATTGTGCCGGAAAGCACCGGAGGGCCTACCCATGTCCTTAAACATCATGGCGCCCCCTGGTTGCGATTTGGGGCCCCTGGAGGCAGCCCCGCCTTGCGTGCCCGTCCCAGCGGCTGTGTCAGAAGTCACAGAACGATGGTCAGTTACAATGTCATAGAACGATGGTCAGTTACAATGTCAGATAGAACGTAGGTCAGTTACAATGTCATAGAACGTTGGTCAGTTACAATGTCATAGAAAGTTGGTCAGTTACAATGTCATAGAACGTTGGTCAGTTACAATGTCATAGAATGTACGTTGGTCAGTTACAATGTCATAGAACGATGGTCAGTTACAATGTCATAGAACGTTGGTCAGTTACAATGTCACAGAACGTTGGTCAGTTACAATGTCAGAGAACGTTGGTCAGTTACAATGTCATAGAACGATGGTCAGTTACAATGTCATAGAACGTTGGTCAGTTACAATGTCACAGAACGTTGGTCAGTTACAATGTCAGAGAACGTTGGTCAGTTACAATGTCGTGGCGGAGAGGAAGTAAATCAACTTTGAGGCTGTTCACAGTAATGTAGCTTATGGAGAGTCGATGTGATAACTGACACACATTTTGTCAGAAACAGCAGGGTACTGAACATGAACAATTATATATAAATAATTATACATGACATAACAGAGCATTACAAACATGGTTATATATATAACAATAATATCATCGTTTGTGGGGGTCATTTTGAAGTAACTATTATCTCAGACGCCGATAAATGATGATTTCCTCCCATTCAAATCTCTCACCAGTTTCCATGACTATGCTGAGCACAGTGATAACACAAAACATGGTGTCGGTGGCCTAGTGGTTAGGCTGTCGGACTCGCAACCCTAAGGTCGTGGGTTCGAATCCCGTCAGGGACCCGACGTTGTGTCCTTGGGAAAGGCACTTTACACGAATTTTCCTCACTTCACCCAGGTGGGAATGGGTACCCGGCTATAGACAGCGAAAGATCTTGTCAGTTTGTTAGTGTTTAGGCGCTTAATCAGCTGCTTGCACTGTATGCTTCATGGGAAGCTGAGAATGTTTCAGAGTGTTCTATGGTCTGCTGGGGTAATAATATAGTGTAGAGCGCATAGAGCCTGCTGTTGAGCGGGGATATGCGCTATACAAATGCTATTTATTATTATTATTATTATAAGGAGAATCTAAAGAGAGAAATTTCAGGAACACTTAAGTTCACAGTAGCCTATGCTTTATGCATCATAACCTTTCCAAATCAGACAGTCGCTGGTTCCGTCCTCAAATAGATGAGAAAATTTACAGAAAGTTCAGCGTAACATGCACATTGGATAAACTGAAAACGATTCAAGACTGAAGACCCACATGATTTCATTCATACCTATAGGACCTACTAGGATTGACTAGCGCAGCTCAGCTCAGCCAACTGTGGGTGGGTGGGTGGTGGGTACTCTGGTGTGATTTGCTCCTTTTTAAAAATATTAAACATCCATTGTCCTTATCTCTACTCCCCCTTTTCTTTGCATGTTACAATTCTCTTAGTAATACCCTCCAACATTCGGCACTTATATTACCTATTTGAGTGGCAAGTGACCTAAAATATATATATATTAAAACTAAAACTAAACTCGCACAAACACTTTGTATAAAGTAAAAGAAGGTAAAATAGGCTTAACATACAGTGATGAAATGAACATTTTGACAGCATACAAAAAAGCCACAAAAAAGTTAACATTTCGTTCATTATACTTTGATGCAGTGGGATTTGGAGGTTGGCATCTCTCCGATTTCCATTAAAAAAATATCACATCTTTATCGTACAGCTTTAATTAAATATATTTCAACATAATAATAATATGCGAAAACATACAATCGAACATGTCACAAAAGCGAAAGTGTAGCAGCAAACTAGTGACAACTCAACATGGTATCAAGTCAGGCAAGTGAAGCAGGTGATTCAAAATTCCAGCTGGAGAGAAAGAGGTCATTCATGCACATTTGTGTCTGTATATATAAATATGTATGTTTGAATTTACATGTATATAATATAAGAGTTTTGTCAGTCCTACAAACAGTCAGTCATGCAGAAACGACATGTTATTCACAGACGTAGAGAGAGTTCAGCAATGCTGTAGAAATCAGCAGATACTTTTTATCATCCAGCAGTCAATAAAAGTACAGTTTGGGATTATTTTTTTTTAACCACCATATCTGCACTCCGCCTCCAAATGAAGAATGTAATGAATTATAAGACATAAATTAATAACTGTAAATGTAGGGCCTATATAATTTCAAGAATTAGAAAAGGGGGACAACAAAAATCAAACCATAACAAAAGCCAAAAGAAAAGTTACGAAGTTAATCTCAAGAAAAAAAAAAAAAGTCAAATCATTAACGACTCCCTGCCGTCCCAACCTCACGAAAGATGGAAAAATATCAAAATTGGTTTGAACATGACTGACAGAACTTTCATTATTTGTAACTGAAGCGTGCTGTAGATTGCTTGAAATTGAAAGGGGAAACAACTTTGAAACCCAGAACGAGCATGTGATCAAGAGCTACAAATCTTGAGGTGCTCAGCAGACGTGATCAAACTACAAAAAGCGAGTGACTTTCTCAACAACAAAAAACCCAACAAAAAACACAAAAATGACGTCTTATGAATGAAGCAGAACAGGGTATTCAAAATGAGCTTGTGACGTGGTAGCAGTGACAGTATTTATAGATCTCTGGTGTGCAGATGGCATCGTAACAAGACTTGTATATCTTTTGGCAAGCGGCAGTCTACACTGTTGCAAAATTATTTAAAAGTGTTTGTGAGGAAGTGGTCAACATTTTGTCCTGCAATGATGACTCATGAGGGACAAAGTAGACCAAAGCGTGCCAGAAAATGCTGGTTGCAGCTTAGAGAGCTCAAGGAAATGATCAATTGATATTCTGCATTCTCATGCGTGTCTCCGAAGGGATTGCGTGAGTACCTCTGCATGTATGTCATTCTTTCATGTGAGAAAATTGGAAAAACATGCATCACACAGATTCTTTTTTAAAAGCTAGAAACTTGAAAAAAAACAAAAAACAGGTTAACTACGATAATACTGGAAATATTCCAGATGAAAATACATATTTAGGAGCCAGAATAGGATAGTGAATTCATTTTGAAAAATAATAAAACCCAGTCCCTCTTTGTTTAAACTTAAAGTACCCTGATTTCCAATTGTGAACAGGAAATAATAAAGAAAACAATGTACTAACAATACCAAAATAAACATCTGAGAAAAATGGCTAAAAAAATTTTTTTTAACAGAAAAAAAAATAATATAGAAAGGAGAGAGAACCCAGGTCAGAAAGATAAAGAGAAATTTTTGTTAACATTTTTTTAGCCAGCATCATGCAAACGAGCCCTCCTCAATGCTTGATAATAATAGAAAAGGCCAAAATCAAAAGGGAAATTCATGCAAGAGAAAAGTGTGAGAAAACATTGTTACCTGCAGCTGTTTGGGGGAGACCAAGAGCACAAAGAACAACCGGTTACAACAACAAAGGGACCCAGTCAGGCGGGACAAATTTGTCAGCTCACAAAGTTAAACGTCAAACTCATTATATCACAACATTGATTTCAAATAACTACTCCTAGACTACTGTGAAAACTATATTACATCAAAAACTTATTTTTTTACCAGATTTGAAAGAAAGACCCAAAAAAAATTTTAAAAATAAAAAAACACAAAAAGTATTCATAAACATTGGTCATTTTAAAATGTAATTCCTAATCGGTAATTTCAAGCTACAGGTGGCCACTACAGGTCAAGGTTGCTACTACTTCCATTATTATATCATCATTTAATCAACACTTAAACCAAAAAGTAACGGAAACCAGACACTAAACGTTTTGTAGCAAAACACAGTTTCTATAAGAGCCAACATTGACAAACATTGATTAGGCCTATGTTCAAACGAAATTTACGCAGACGTGAAATAACAACACATTTCAGAAATATACTGCTTGGTATGGTTGGCGGACTAGATCCTTGAGCATCTTCTTGTTATTTCCAAAGATTTTAGAGAAGCAGATGACTAAAACTAGTGAACAGAATACTCTACAAACAGACATTGATGATACGTGAACGGAATAATCTATAAACTCACATTGGTAAAACGCAGCTTGGAGGCCGCTGGCTTCCTGCTGTCGTCTCTGCAACTCTCTCTCTCGCATTCTGATAGCAGAAAAATAGCAAGATGACGATCATAATAATATTAACATAATTGCATTCATATAGCGCTTATATCCATGCTATACAGCATGCATACTCTATGCACTTTACAGTTATTACATGTATTACTTCAGATGACTCTAGAAGAATGCTCAGAAAAAATCTCATGTAACAGTTTTAAGGATGACAGCAAAGCAAAAACATCAGCAACTAAACAAAGTCTCATTCATCTGCCAGCTGTTCAAATATATGCTTTGGCCAGAAAGCAAAACTGTTTCATTTTTTAAAACAATTGTAGGCTACCTACATTATTCATACATTTTTCCGTATCATTTTCCCATCATTCAAAATTTGAATTTTGACAAAGTACGCCTACTTCTCAAGCACATAAAACCAATACCACAGATTAAGAAACTGCAACGATAAAAATAAAAATAATAATTTTGCGCATAGTACATTTAACAGCTGGCCAACAATATTCTTTAAAGTTAAGATAATATTGTGATGTCTTGTAATCTCCCCCCCCTTCCCCCCCCCCCCACCAAATGGTTCACACAGCTTCTTGTGACCTCATTTTGCCAACCATTCAAAGGTACATACTGAGAAGGGTGAAATAAGCAAACTATGTCATCCATTTGGGAGAAATTGTCCACATACTATATACACAAAACTACTATCAAATGTACCTCTGCACAGCCTGCTCCTTGGCCATCTTCCGAGCCTGTTTGCTGCCGTGGTGACCGTGAACTTTGATGCTGATCTTCTCGTTTTTCTTGGCCACGTCTTCCTCAAGTCTGGAACAGAACAAGCATGTTGTTGAGACTACTACTACACACGTGTCAAGACAGCACAGATCAACACAACACAGGTGTCATAATGACATGTGTCAAGACAGTTTCCTGCTTTATTGACAAAATCTGGGAGCGATTGGTGGGTGTTCTGGTGTGGTTAGTTCCTTCTATCCTCTCAAACATTTATCGTTCCTTTAGTAACACCTTTAATAATGATAATAATAATTGCATTTATATAGCGCATATCCATGCTCAAGAGCTTGCTCTATGCGCTTTACAACTATTATTACCCCAGCAGACCCTCTGAGAACACTCAGAAACATTCTCAGCTTCCGCGGAAGCATACAGTGCAAGCTGCTGATTTCACGCGCTCAAACACTATAAAACTGACAAGATCTTTCACTGTCTATAGCTGGGTACCCATTTCCACCTGGGTGAAGTGAGGAAAATTTGTGCAAAGTGCCTTTCCCAAGGACACAACGTCGGGCCCCTGACGGGATTCGAACCCACAACCTTATGGTTGCGAGTCCGAGAGCCAAACCACTAGGCCACTGACGCCACTTTGGCACTTTTCTGACCTTTTTATGTTAGGAGTGCCTAAAACTCTAACTAAAACAACCCCCCCCCCCCCGGAAAAAATTTAATTTACTCGATCAAAAAGCAAGAATTTAAAGTATAACTATTACATCCCATTACTTGTAAGTGGTGGTCATTGCAAAAAAATCCCTAAATTTATATATAAAGTAAAGTAAAGTTGTATCCGGATCCGATCAGGACACTGGGGATTGCTTTGTTAGTGAGACAACTTCCGGGGCCTTCAGCATATTTAATTATTTATATACTATACTCAATCACAAAGCAAAAATTCAAAGTGTAATTAAACAATCCGCTGACCTGTTGGCGGTGGTCATGGCAAACTCGACAAACTCCCGGTAGTCCTCACAGCAGTACAAGGACTCTGGTGGCTGCGACAGTTGCTGCTCCAGGCTGGGGAACGGCTTGATATCCACACCTGGGGGGGCGGAGAAGATATGTGGTAAAATAGTTGGGATATTTGTTGAGGAAAACATGGGTTTGATTCTCAGTTGAGGTAGTGAATCTAACAAACACGTCTTTCTTATTGGTGGTGCAGTGCGGTTTTGTGAAAAAAAAACTTACAATGTCTCTGCTGCTATGGAGATATGAGTCAAATCTTTGATAACAAATATCTCAGTAGTTTGCCTCAGACAGCAGTGTAGTACTCCAACATTGAACTGCTATTTATTCAGCTAAATATCAATGGATTCACTGAAATTGGTGTCAAACAAAAAGGAATTTGGTTTTCCTTTTTCAGCTGTACCATCATCATCAAGTGCAATACCTGCGGCAGACATCGGCAATCATGGTTCTCCATTTATTCTGCTCTTAAAAAAGCTACTTTACCCTGATCTTTCCCCGTCATCCATCGGTTTAAGTTCTCCAAGTAGGCTGCTCTGGGCCTACCTCTGCCTCATTTGCCTTCAATTTTGCCACCAAGAGCAAGGCTGTATTGGATTTTCCCGGATTGTTTTTTTATCAGCGAGAAGCTCACGTACGTGGGTTACTTCAAGTACAACCTCATTTGATTTCTTCAACTGTACCAAAAACCCAAATTATGAAATGTGTGCCCAGTGGGCCAAACCGTTACATCTCATCACAGCTATAGACCTTGTGGGGGTCAAAAATGAGAGTTGTTAGTGATAAAAATAACTTGCCCGTCAGAGTCTGACCACGACCAATACATATGATGAGGAGAACATTTCTCAGGTGAAATAGAACAATTGGAAGAAATAAAGGTTAAGATGACTCGAGGCCTCTGCTATGGCCAATAAGATCAATTCTGGCAGAGAAAATTTTGCTTATTCTGAACACTGAACACTTTGCCATCACAAGGCTCATATAGCGATCCCCCTGGTTTTATGCACCCTGTATAATTTAGCAAAGTTTGGATCATTTTTTGCATTATTTCTGATTTTTTCCCCCTTTATCTTTCTTTGCTAAAATTAACAGAATCCCATAATTTCACATTTTTGGGCTCAGTTTGCATAATTTCAGAATTTTTCTTGAATGAAACGACGGGGACAGATATAGTAAAGACCCTTGCCATCAATCAAAGGCAGAGGTATTTGGGGACAAATCCAAAGAAACTGGGTGGCTGTCCGGCGAGATGTGACGGCAAATCCAAAGAAACTGGGTGGCTGTCCGGCGAGATGTGACGGCAAATCCAAAGAAACTGGGTGGCTGTCCGGCGAGATGTGACGGCAAATCCAAAGAAACTGGGTGGCTGTCCGGCGAGATGTGACGGCAAGGTGTTAAATGCTCCACTTCTACTTGTGGATGTGTGCAGCTTGCAGGCGTCTCTCTCGTTTTCAGTATTTCTTTAAACTCGTGAAGCCTAATTTGATTTGCAGCCCACTGTGACTGCTGCTCTCCAGCTGGGTCTGTCGGGGAGCTGGGCTCTTCCATTCAAAGTGCTAATGTTGAAGTCCTTCGGAGACATTTTCAGGGTGTCTTTATAGTACTTTTTTAGTGTGCCGACGTTACACTTCCTTGAAAACAGTTCAGAATAGAATACTGTAATGGTGCTCATATGACCTTATGCAGTTGCGAGCGCCGTAAAACCCTGTACTATAAAAAAATAATTTTTAATTTAAAAAAAGAATACTGTTCGTTGCTACGTACCGCAAAATTCACATGGTCCACTAAACATCCCCGCCATGTTGCCGTCCTGGTCAAGGACGTAGTCTGTGGAGTCAATTTGTCGGTACTCGTCGTCCATGGAGGAGCTGGTCCTGTCTGTTTCTTTCTCCATTCTGTCAGACTCACGGATGTACTGGGGGGGACAGACGGGGCATGGGGTTATAAGCTCTGTGTTAGCATGTGTGACCAGTAGGCGAGAGAGGGGGGAGGGGGTTGAGGAGGAGTGAAATAGAGAGAGAGGGGGATGAAAGAGAGGGGGAGAGAGAGTGGGAGAAAGAGGCACAGGAAGCTGGGGAAGAAAGAGAGGGGGAGAGAGAGTGTGTGTAAGAGAGAGGGAGGGGGGGGGGAGAGTGAGAAAGAGATATATAGGGAGAGAGAAGGGAGATGGGTTTGAGAGGGAGTGAAAGAGTGAGCAAAAAAAGAGAGGAAAAGAGAGATGAGGGGGGAATGGGGAGAGGTGGGAGTGAAGAGAGAGAGAAGGGGTGGGAAAATAGGAAGAGAGGAAGAAGGGGGGGGGGGGGGGAATGGGAGTAGACAAGCAGACTGATTGACATTAGAAGACAAACAGGCATAGAGATGAATAGACAGATTCACACAGATAGACAGTAACAGACCCTAATAGATAGACAGACAGGGGATTTTAGTTTTAGTAAGAATTTCCAAGCACTTGTAACACAATCAGGTCAAACGAGTGTCAAAGATTAAAGGCACTACAACCAGAGAGTTACATACAAAGAAAAGAAGGAGGCGAGATAAGGATGATAGTTGTTGGATAGGAAAGAAGGAGCAAACCACACCAAAGCACTCGCCAATTGCCCATAAACAGGGGATGTAAAGCATTTGCCTTCGTAATCAAGAGCTGGCAAAGATAGGAATAGAAGAACTAAAACAAAGTAGTAAGTTTACCTCAATATATCCATATGCCAGTCTTCACAAACGATATTGATAACACATTTCAAAGGTAAAATACTTCAACATGTTGTTATCGATCCAGACCTCACCGTATAACGTGTTACATTATCTCAACCAACATTCTTGCACATATGTGAGGCAGCGTGGTGGAATCAGGCTCTCATCAAAATAATCAAAGTGTAGAAACTTGCATTTTTCCGCAGGTTAGTGAATTTTTATAAAATTTTTCTTTTTTGGCTCAACACCTTTCGTGCCCTTTAAAGAACCCATTTCTGTGTGGATTTTTATTAAAAACGTTGATTAAAGGCACCAAAAAAATGTTAATCTTCAGTTACCAAGAACTCTTAAGCTAAAGAAATAACTAATCTTTGGCGGCCATTTTCTCACTAATTTTACCTCTGAAAACAGGTGACCTCCGCCTCCTTCATTCGCAAATATCTCGACTTGTATTCAAGATAAAGGGATATTTTTTTCATCCAAATAAAGACAAGAAAACAAGCTTTAAGATGATACCAATAACTCTACATGCTCAAAAATTGACGAGAGCCTGATTCCACCACGTTGCCTCACATATATATCCATATGCCAGTCCTCACAAACGATATTGATAACATGTTTCAAATGTAAAAAACTTCAACATGTTGTTGTTATTGATCCAGACCTCACCCTGTAACGTGTTATATTATTTCAACCAGCATTCTTGCACATACGTGATAACATCATCACCTACATATCATATGTGAGATATCCCCTGATAAAAATAATGATAATAATAACAATAATGATAATAATAATAATAATAATAATAAATAGCATTTGTATTGCGCATACCCCCGCTCAACAGCAAGCTGTATGCGCTTTACACTATATTATTACCCAAGCATACCATAGAACACCCAGAAACATTCTCAGCTTCCGGGGAAGCATACAGTGCAAGCAGCTGATTAAGAGCTCAAACAGTAACAATCTAATCCATTAATCATTCGAATAATGCGTCCCTTTATCAAACCACACACAACCTGATAAGATAACAGGCAATACAGGAAAGGACATGTACATACCAAAGTCTAGGAGCAACAACAACAAAAAAAACACCAACTCAAAACAAACAAGGCAAAGCCGAGATAGTACAGTGTGACTTGAGACACGTACGGGTTGTTTCCCTGTATAATATTGTTGTTGTTGTTGTTGTTATGCTTTTTGATTCTTTCACGAGATGAGGATTGTGACAAAGTAGCTTCTGAAGCTACAAGGGATTGTGGTCCTTGGGATAAGTATCTTCTGTCTCAGACAGTTATGATGTGATGACTTGGATTATTGTCATGTGATGACTTGGATTATGGGATGACTTGGATTATTGTCATGTGATGACTTGGATTATGGGATGACTTGGATTATGTAATGTGATGACTTGGGATTATTGTCATGTGATGACAGGGATTATTGTCATGTGAGGACTCGGATTATTGTCATGTGATGACTGGGATTATGTGATGACTTGGATTATGTGATGACTTGGAATATTGTAATGTGATCACTTGGATTATTGTCATGTGATGACTTGGATTATCGTGATGTGACAAAACTAACAATTATGAACTGACAGCGAAAGGATAATCCCTCTGACTTCATGATAGACTTTGAGAGCCTTAGGGTGCTGACGCCACGGTAAGTTTACCGACTTTCTTTTTCTCTGCGTTGTTATGCAGTCAACCCTGCTCCAATTTCCACCTGTTCAAGACAACTACCTGCACAAACGGCCAATCCCCACTTCCTCCACTTGCATATTTTCTCACATTATAATGTCACAGCAGCCATAAACTGACAAGAAGCTTTATTTTCTCCAGAGCAGTTTCGAGAAAAAGAGGTTTTTAGTCAACATAATAATTAAAAAATAGAGTCATTCCGAAAGTTGAATTCTAATTTATTCAAAAACTATTCACAGTTTCAGTTTGATTTTTTCAAACAAGTTGGGTAACTGATCAGGCTTTCAATTTAGCTAACACAAAATTTTGGCGCCAAAACGAAAAAAGGAGTTTCGTCAGCTTACCTTAGATTGTCCAAGATGTCTAACTGTACAAATAACCACTTCCTACTCCCCTCTTGAATTTTTTAAAACATTTTAATAACACTGCCCAAGACAACCACCTGCCTAAGACAACCACTTTTCTCCGTGGCAAAGGGTGGCTGTCTTGGACAATTTGGAAAGTATAGTTCACGATGATGTTCAATGTGTTCTAGATATCTGCATTTGGAAAACTTGCCTAAACGTTTTTTAATAACCGAGAAAGTTTTTTTATTTGTAACATAACATACGCAGGCAATTTCCTGTTTTTGTGTACCAGCCCCCAGTAAGTGGAAGAGAAACAGAGGACATTTGAGGAACAATTTAAAAAGCGCTGTCCATTATACACAAGCGCTGTTCATTATACACAAGCACTGTTCATTATACACAAGCGCTGTTCATTATACACAAGCGCTGTTCATTATACACAAGCGCTGTTCATTATACATACACAAGCTCAAAAAGTGCAGAAAAACCCTTTAATTGATAACAATTGTAAATAAACAACTGCTTCTTTCAAAAGGACCAAATTACTGTAACCTCATTCCCTATCAAACCAAAAACTACCACTGGACCACGGAGTTTCAATTATAACCGACTTATGATACCATGCAATTTTTCCTTAAACACTTACCAGATAACAAGATAACGAAAGAAATAACTTGTTAAACAGCATAATGGAATATAGCTAGTTTCTGTAACCTACTTTTTAAACCCTGCAATTTCTCCGCGAACACTTTTTATCAGATAACAAAAGAAAAAAAGAAAGAAATAGAGTGTAGACGACATAATAGAATACCTTTAATATCTGAGGGGGGCCGATGCTGGGAAGATGGTGTTTGTGGACTCGTGGTTTCTTCGGGGAGTCGTCTTCTGAACTCTGGGAAATAAAATCGCTGTTCTAAAAACTTTTCTGTTATCTTTTAGTTTTAGTAAGATTTTACAGCACCCGCAACTACATAAGGTCATATGAGCGCCAAGAGGTGGATGTCAACAGAGAAGTCTTTACAGGGAATCAGGCTTACTCTGCTCACCTCTCTAGCTTGAACAGCACAAAGTCTGCTTCAACTATCAAGGCACCCCAGAAATAGCAGTTCAAAAGAGATTGACAAAAATACAAAAGAAGTAGAGGAAAATGACAATAGTAAGGATGAGGAAAGAAAAAGCAGCAGTTCCTCCTATGTTGTTCCGGCACAGTATGACCATGACATTATTAAATCAACCCTTTTACAATTCTACTCTGCATTAGAGCATGTTAACATCCCCCCTTTGGGTATGGCCAAAAGACACTTCAGTCAGTAGCCTTGCCCTGGGGGGGTTCTGTTATCACTTCTCCACAGAAGTTGCAAACTCAAAATAACAACTGACAAAATAGAACTGATTTCGATGGGAGGAAAGTTGTCTTTGTCACAGAATTCACGCAAACAGACTGGAAATGGAAAGACAATGTAGAGAAAGTATATGCACACTCTCATAAACTACATTTGAAACCACAATACATGATGAACATGATGAACATGAATTCTCATTATTACTGCTTGGTTTGATTTGAGAAAAGAGAAACGCATCAACTACACAATATCTGTGACTGAATGCTAGGAAAAGCAAGACAGACAGACAGACAGACAGACAGACAGACAGACAGACAGACAGACAGACAGA